TATATAGCAAATTGTAAAACACAACAAAAAGTATTAATATAAAAATAAAATATGAAATACGTATATATATATAAAGTAATCAGAGGGTCACAAGGCATAGTTTACCCTTAATATAACAGAAACACGCAGATCCCCTCATTTTTAACTCAACCAAACGTTTGAAATTCATTTCATCCTCATCTCTCGCCGAAATATCTCTTCTGTTCTCCCTTTTCTCGAATGTTTTTCACCACGAAGAACGGGGGGTCTTGCTTTCCAGAAAAACAATGGCTTTTTTTTTAAAGAAAATGGCCTCGGGAGGTGGATCTGGCAAGATCCTCTCAAAAAGCCCTCCCCGGGTCCTCGGCCTTCCATTTTTGACTGTTTTCAAGCCAAACCTTAAGCACAAAACGACATGCAAAGGAAGAGATGAACGAACAAAGGTAAAACGAATCACTACTCTTTATTCTATGCGAATCGTTTACAAATGCTTGAGTTGCTTCGGTTTTCTGGGATGTTTTCGTGACCTCTCTCTCGTAATGTTTCGTGTGTAATTTGTGTGATAATTTCTGGTTGTCTTTCGTATCCACCGTGTGAAAAAAAAAAATCTCCCTAATACTGTGATTACATGCCTATTTATACAAAAATGCATGCCTATTTTTTTGGTCTAGCTTGAGTCCTAATCAAACCCAACTACTCTTATTTGTTTGACATCCACCATCGTTGCTTGTGGCCGAGAGAACCGGGCTATGTTGAGCAGTTGGTGTCCTACACATTCACGTAAGTTGGAGGCCGAGAAAAGTGGGTTCGTTGCGTGACAAGCGGCGTGCCAAGTGGGGACTGTGGCGCTTGTGGAGAGACGAGTGAGGGAGAGCTGGGTGCACCATGCGGCGCTGATGGAGTGAAGGCTTGCTAGGGTTTCCATTGCAGTTGGGTCAGCGTGTGGATTTGGGCCATACTGTTGGGCCTGTAAAAGGAGAGAAGAAAAGAAGGGAAAAAAATGTAAATAAACATAATATAATATTATATATATGTATGTATTATAAGGGACGAATTTAAGTGTAAATAAACTATATATATATTATAACTTATAACATAATGAATATATTATGAGCGACGAATTTAAGTGTCTTCACACGTTATGATAATGTCTACCATCATATTATCAACAATGATTAAAGCCCACATTAAGGAAGAAATTTGACCAAAGTCTGAGCATCAAAAGTATAATAAAATGATCTCTCTTTGAGGCAACCCTTTTGCATTATTTAATGGTGATGATGATGCAAATTGTAGATGGCTGGCAAGCCCCATGTGAAACCCCAGCCCTAATTTAGGGTTGATTTGGGACCTTAAACCGCTTCTGCAACCTTCCCATTTTAGGTAAGCCCCCATGTTCCCACTTTCGTTTTTTCTTCCCTTTCTATTATTTCATTTCTAACTCGGATATTAACGAATGAATATAAATTTAAATCGTTATTCGGGATGATAATTCTGATCGTAGATTTAGATATTTATAAACATTTGATCTATTTTTTTATATAAATCTAGATAATATTTAGATTCGAACGATAAAATTAATGTTCATTGCATGTTGATACTTAATCAGTTCGATTTCGAGTTGCGATCGAATATGATATTACGATGCGGATGATATGTGTTAACGATGGTGAATGTGGGTGGTAACTGCAGTTTATGGTGAGGTAAGTGAGATATGGAGATATGATGATGGTGACGAGCAATGCAATAATGGTGGGGCAAAGCTCATAGGGGGACCAATGCCGATGGCCAGTGGTTTCCTCTTTTAGAAAACCTAGTATGCATTTGCCTTTTTACTATAAATAGACTTCGAATAAATTCTGATTAAACAACAAAAACTCCACTATATTATATTAATCTAGAATTAGGTAGAGTATAATAAAAGTAATTCAATTATATTTAAAAATTTATTTTAGTTATTATTTTTTAAAAAAATTATAAAATAATCATTGATTTTATCAAATTATTATAAAATAGTTGCCGCTAACTTATAATAATTATAAAATTTTGATAAAATTTAGTGACTAGTAATCAGGGTCGATCCTAACTATTTCTTGGTTTAGGGAAAAATTAAAAAATAATGTGCTACTTAGTTAATTTTTTAAAGAAATATGCAATATAAAATTTTTATTAGATTTTTTTATTAAATTAAACAAATAGAAATTTATTAAAATGTCAAAAGTGTCAAAAATATATTTAAGCATATAAATACTTATAAACAAATGTCGTCTTTGAGCATTTCTTAATGTAGAATCATTGATGATATTATCAAAATCAATGTTTTCCAACATATTTTTCTCAATATATAACTTAACATTTGAAAATAAAAGAAAGATCTTATCTAGAATTAGAAAATATATAGAAATCAAAAGAAACAATTTGAAAACATGATCTTACCTAGAATTTTAAGAACAATCTTCAATAAACGCAATATCTTACCTATTATTTTATTTATATTTTTAAATTTGTTATCTTTAATAAACTCATGGGCTTCCTATTTTATGTTAGAATTTTTTAATTTATTATCAAAATTTAAAAAAATATTATATTAAAATTTTTAATTTATGGGCCCTGGGAAGGCGCCCCTCCTGCCCTGCTAGGGTCGGCCTTGCTAGTAATAATTTGATGAATTTAATGATTATCTTATGCAAGTATTAAGAACCAAATATTCCATTATACTAATTTTGTTAACTATCACGTCAACTCATCCATTAAATATTAATGATATGTGACTTCATTAATATTATTTAAATAATTAAGTAATATGATTGACTAAAATTAAAGATCGAAGGTTAAGTTAAAATCTCTGCATAATTAATGGTCACGAGTATAGTTTATCCAAAAATTTCATTATATAATTAATCAATATAGGGATGACATAGGGCAGGGCGGGGCGGGGCGATTTTTTAGCCACCGTGACCCCAAACCAAAAATACATTCCCTGAACCCAACCTCACCATGCCTCGATAAATTTTAGATTTTCTATCTCTCCGATCCGTCCCGAATTTTATATTAAAACCTCTACCCAACCCGACTAGATCTAAATATATTCATATTTTAAAATAATTAAAAGAATATATTTATAATTATTTATTATATTTTAAACTATTAAAATAATATATTTATATTTTTAATAATTAAAAAATATAATTTAATAATATAAAAATAAAATCCCTATAATTTTAAATATATTGTATATATAAAAAGATAAAATAATAATTTATATCAAGCCAGGCCAAATTTATTTTTTCACCTTAAATCCGACCTTATCCTATCCCGAAATTATATACCATATAACTCACCCCGTCCCGTCCTAATCTCCAAAATTAAAAAAAGCCCCTATAAGATCAAGTCGGATAGACACCCGTCGAGTTCATATGTTTGACCATCCCTGAATTTTAATAACCTTTCCACGTGGAGCTTTAAAGTAAAAAAAGAATATTACTTTTCACTCACCTCTGATTGATTTATCCTCAGGTAAATATGAACCAGACCATGAAGCTGCGATCCATGCATTGAATAGCAAAGAAGTCATAGTCATGGGATTTGTTACAGTTTGTCGTTACCCATTAGGGTTTTTGATGGGCCCCACTTTCATAAAATTTCTATTTTTAGACTGTCATAGTTTTCAACTCACAGTAAAAGAAATTTCTAATTTTGGTAAATTTCAGGTTGCTTGCCAGAAGAGTGGTTAAGGCGACACCCCCCCCTTTTGTCTTTGTTTCGCCTTTTGACAATAAAGGGATGCTTGTTGCTGTTAAATTACTGATAATGCCACTACTCCTACTCCATCTAAAATCATTAAACTTATTGAACTATTATAATATAATCTTTAAACTTAAAAAAATTATTATCATTTTAACGTATATGAACTATTTTGTAATTATTTAAAAAAATTATTGATTATTTTATAATATTTAAAAAATGAGTAGCCGAACAAATTTATTTTTATATATTTCACTGACATCTAACGCACATTACTCTAAATTAATTTGAAAATTAAGGTTAAAACTTTAAATAATGATAAGGCTTATATCACAAATAAGTATTTAAACTATGTTTTCTTTTTTATTTAAGTGTCTAAAATATTTTTTGATCAAAATAAATATCTAAAATTATTTTTTGGTCAAAATAGGTACTTAAATTATTCAAATTTTTTCATCTAAGTTTTAAAAAAAGTTAACATGTGAGATTAATTAAAAAATACGTTAGGTACTTAAATAAAAAAATTGAATACATTATTACCTATTTTGATAAAAAAAAACTTTAGATACCTATTTTGACCAAAAAATTAACTTGAAGTATTTATTTTGATCAAAAAATACTTTTAACACTTAAATAAAAAAATAATATAATTTATGTACTTATTTATTATATAAGCATAACTGAAATAACCTAATTTTACTTTGGTATTCTATGGTTTTGTTATAATCAATTTAATTAATTAAGTGAAAAAATCATTAAAATAATTAAAAGTCTGATTCGAACAATCGAACTAGTAATTTTTTTTAAAAAAAACTAGAAAAAGGTATTCAAACTATTCTATTTTTTGTCTTAAGTACTTAAATTATTTTTAGTTAAACTAAATTCTTAAACTATTATATGTAATCACTTTAAGTACTTAAATTATTTTTTTGGTCAAAACAAGTCCTTAAACTATGACTCTTTTTTGTTTTAAACCCCTAAACTATTTTTTATCACAAAATATATAATTTTATATGACAGTGTAAACGTCTTATTTGGTTGAAACAAATTATTTTAACAAAAAAAATGATACGACATAAAATGATTAAATATAATAATTTAAGATTTTTTTCGAGGTGATTAAAATTATTTTAACGAATCTGATCATCAGTTCTGGATTCAACCGATATATTTGGTGCAGTTCTGTAGTTTTATAGGAAGAGGATGGGGTTTTTAGGAAACGAAAAACTAAAGCAAATAGCATATAGAGAATAAATTCCTTGCTCATACACCAAAAGAGCTGCAGTTTTGCAAGCAAGCAACATAGGTAATTTTACTCACAGAGAGGACTCATCATCTTTCCCATCTTCCATTTCCCTTCCTGGGTTTATCAACTTATTGCAAACTATAAAACAAACTTTTGTTATTTTAAGTTCCAGAAGATCAAGCTCTTACTTTCCATTATTATTTGTTCTTTTGCAACCCTTTTCTCTGGTGGTTTACAGAGGGTTTTTTTTAAAAAAAGAGAAAAAAAGAGTATATAATATGTTTTGATCTTTAGATATAATTATGGGACGTGGGAAGATAGCGATCAAGAGGATAGAGAACCAGACGACTCGACAGGTGACGTTCTCGAAGCGAAGAGCCGGACTTTTGAAGAAGACGCACGAGCTTTCTGTGCTTTGCGATGCTCAGATCGGCCTCATCATCTTCTCCACCACCGGCAAGATGTGCCAGTACTGCAGTGAGCCGTACAGGTCTGAAGTTTTTGGTTTGTTCTTATTATCTGCCATGGGAAAAAAACTAGCTAGGGTTTCTATATCAGGGCTACTTTTCTCATGTTTCTGCAGATCTGCTTTTTGCATGATGAATTTGAATGTTTAAAGCTTTTGATCCTTTGTTTATGGCTAAATATGTTTTCCAGAATGGAGCAAATCATTGATAGGTATCTGAAGGTTACTGGAGCTACCATTCCTGAGCATGACAATCGGGTAAGAAACTTTATAAACTCACATTTCCATCTTTCATGGATGTATATTTATGTATGTATATGTATATAGGAGCATTTGTACAATGAATTAGCAGTGTTAAGGAAAGAAACCCGTCGGCTTCAACTGAGCATGCGGCGCTACACCGGGGAGGACATGAGCTCGATACCGTTCGAAGAGCTCGAACAACTCGAAAATGAACTCGAACGATCCGCCATCAAGGTCCGACAGCGAAAGGTATACGACTTCATCTTCATCTTCTTATTCATTTGAACTAAAGATTTCATCTCTTGCTTTTTACAATTTTCTGCAGAATGAACTTTTGCAGCAACAACTTGATAATCTGCGTAGAAAGGTGATACATGAATTGACACTTCTTTAAGTTCCCTCACATTGTAACCAGATGCTAATTTATGTTTTGTACTTCAAAAAATTGTGTAGGAGAGAATACTAGAGGAAGAAAACAGCAATATGTACCGATGGGTGAGTACAAAGACTTCAATTGAACTTGTATTGATTTAGTAGATCATCTAATCTTGGATGCCGAAACATTTACCATTTGGATTGGTTTCTTGTTGATCTTACAGATTCAAGAACACCAAGCGACGATCGAGTATCAACACGGAGGAATGGAAGCCAAGGCGGTGGAGCATCAGCAAGTTCTCGGGCAATTCCCTTTCTATGATGAACCCAGTAGTGTGCTTCAGCTCTCAACCATTAGTCCTCAACAGTTCCATTCCTATCAGCTTCAGCTTTCTCAGCCCAACCTTCAAGATTCAAATGTCTAGCATTCGCCATTGAAGCTATATGGTATTTTAATCGTCATCGTTTAGTATATTCATTCGAAAACTACTTTTGACACTCTTTTGATTACAATTCTGCAGATTTTCTGAGAATGATGAAATCAGCATTGTTGGGATCAAATCTTGTGCTCAAATATCTATTAGAAACATAATTCTGCTATTGTTTTCGTTTAGGGAGTGTGCTATGTATATGCTTTCTTTCTTCTGAAGCCAAGCATTAAACTCAAGATCAATACCCTTTTTCCGTGGGTTTCTCATTTTTCTTCTTTTGTGTTCTCTTCAGTGTGTTTTTAATGAACCTACACCATTGAGTTCTTATAGAAGTATGAATTACTTAAAGTTCCTCCGGAGATGGTATCTAATAGGTTTGGCATTTCGAGTAGAAATCGATATGCCTCTGCTACCTGCCCTGCTCGAGCCAGAACGTCTCTTTGGAGTCACACCGTGTGTGCCGAGAGACTCAAGAAGTACCGAGCTTCCTTCACTAATCCACCATTAGCACATGCACTCAACAAGCACAAGCATGTGATCTCATCAGAGACAAAACCAACTATTTGCAATTCGGTAACCAATTCGAGAGGTTCATTAACAAATCCATGAATTGCAAGCCCTCTGATCATAGCATTCCACGACAACACATCGGTTTTGCCGTTCAACACCCTGAGAAAGACGTCTAAAGCCTCATCTATTGCCCCACATTTAGCATACATATCAGTTCAAGAACTGATATAGAACATTTTGAAATTTAAATACTAATTTATAATTTAGAGACTAATATAATACAGAAAAAATTCATTCCTGTATGAAATAGAATGAAAGTAAGAAAAAATGACTACAATGGTGTAGATGGCAATTTCTTGTTGGCCAAGAAATGCCTAACTAGTTGAAGAGCTTGTCTTGGTTTTTAAGTAGGAACTTGATGAGCAGCTCCTCTAATGGTCACAAACGTAAGCCCTTCATATTCAATCGTCCACCCACCCACCCACCCAACTGTCAAAATGGAATTAATTTACAAAAAAATATTTATACACGTATCGAAATTATACGTATATTTTATGTAAACTACGAGTATTTCCATCTTTCCGTTAAAAATTTAAAGTGTCACCTATTTATGATTGGTGTACCAAGGTGCCCATTCCTCGATTGTTCTTAACCCTAGCTTTTTTAGGGTTAGTCTAGTTGAAGTCAGGGTCGGTTCTGACTTTTTCTTAGCCCGGGGCAAAATTAAAAAATTGGGCCCTAATTTAAAAGAATATTAAAAAATATGCAATATAAAATTTTAATTAATTTTTTATTAAATTAAATAAATATTAATTCATTACAATATCAAAAATGTCAAAAACATATTTAAGCATATAAATACTTATAAAAAAAATTGTCTTCGAGCATTTCTTGATGCAAATTCATTGATGATAGTGTCAACATCAATGGTTTCCAACATATTTTTCTCAATATATAACATAGCTAGTCCATTTAATCTTTCTTGTGACATTGTTGACCTCAAGTAATTCTTCAATAATTTCAGCTTTTAAAAACTTCTTTCCGCGGATGCTACAGTTACCAGCGTTGTTAATAAGATTCGATAAGCAATTGAAACATTAGGATAACAATCTCTAGCTTTAACAAACTCAAGAACTTCAAGCGTTGACATGAATATATTTGGCAAAGTCAATTGCAACACTTTATTTTCAGAAAAAAAAAAATCATCTGCATCAACATCCGACAAATTATTATGAGAAAAAATAATCTTAAAATTATTACAACATTTTTTTAATAAGTCAATAAGAAATAAGTTTATGGGCCCTGCTTTTAATTTAATTTATTAATATTTATGGGCTCTGTTTTTAATTTAGTATATTAATATAGTTTTTAACGTTATGATGAGAACAATAAATCAATAAGAAATAAATTTATGGGCCCTCTTGTATTAATATAAGAAAATGATATATTAATATTTATGAGCCTTATTTTTAATTTAGTCTATTAAAATATAATAAATTAATACAAATTAAAATTATTGGCCCTGGGCGGGTGCCCCTCTTGCCCCTGCCCAGAACCGGCCCTGGTTGAAGTCACTGGAATTCTCCCATCGGTGTCTCCGCTGGAAATCAGAAAATTGCTTATTTATTTCGTGTTCATGTTATTTTTAGATCGATATTATGTTTGGTTTCATGTTGGTGTTATTAAATTACGTTGTCCATCCGAAATCATTGGGTGGTTACCTGTAAATATAAGTGCGGATGCCTCCGTCTATGAGCTTCATGAGTGTAGGAAGCACAGAAGCTGGTCGATCTCCCCAAATTGACACGATTTCACTGCAGATAGGAAATGAGACAACCTCAAATTTATTGTACATACATGTACGGATGCAAAATTTTATGTTAGAGGAGTCGAAAGGAACTAAAAGAAATTATCGATAGAAAATACAAATAATATATCTAAAATATATAAACATTTGAAATTTTCAAAAGAACAACATTTTCTGTCAGTTCCATCGGTTCATCCCTGTACACATGGTTGTTGAAACACACATCAATATTGAATAATTAATACCAGCAATGAGTCCATGGATAAGTCATGTTGGTAACATTGGCATGAAGTGCTTTTTGAACGCCAGGCCCATTGAAATAAGCTTCAGGGTCGTCCCATGCACAATCGTAGTCTTCCGGTCTCTTGTGTTATCCATCCCGGAAAAAATGGGATTAGCCGAGCTTAGATCGAAGAATCAGAATATGTTACTAATATTACTCAGATTCGAGTGCAAGAAATAGCTTTCGAATTTGGAAACCGTCTGCAGGGCGAAGCCTTGAATCGCGGGACTTCGTCGGTTATTGCCGGTGCCGGAGTTACTAACACAAGTGGGAGCATATAAGCTGTCCATATCGATGATGTTGTAGACGTCAAAGTAGGCTTCGAGGGCTTCCTTGCAATCATCAGATTGCTTTGGACGACTGAAATTACATTCGAGTTTGATGTTGTTGTAAACCCTATCGGATATCACTGCAAGATCCCATGCATAATCCACCATCCCTCTTTGATCTGTTTCATCATCCATCAATGCATTCCCGATCTGCATAAAGTGTTGAAAGTCCAAGATGACAACATTGAAAGTCCAAGATGGCATCATAGATTGATGAAAACTTTCGGTGCCTAACTTAGCTAAAATTTCAACAATAAGTTGGCAGCATGAAAATGTTGATTTTTTGGAAATGGTATAATCTCACATTTAGTCATTGTACTTTAGGGTATTTTCAAGATTAGTCCTTTAGCTTCAACTATAAATATCCTAACTCATTTAGCTTCAAAACCATCCCAAAGCATTCTAGCTTTCTTCCAATACTAGAGAGAATTTAGAGAGTTTCTTGAGAGTTGTTTTCTCCTTTTTATCAAGAGAGAATTATCATTATTTTCTCCTTGTTAGATCGAGAGAGGTTGCAATTCCTATTTTCTCATAGTGAATTTCTTCTACCGTTACCCGTGGTTTTTATCCTATATTATTTAGGGGTTTTTCACGTAAATTTTGTGTCCTCTTTATCTTTATTTTTTTTATTTTCTCAAATTATCAGTTGCGATTTTGCTCTATCTGATAGCCGTCTTCCGCAACAATTGGTATCCGAGCCAGATTTGAGTGTGTAATATCTGCTTATTGTCTTTGTGGTTGCCACCAAAAGGTGGATCCTCCAACATAAGAAAGTAAGAAGGTATTACCCAATCTTTGAAGGTTCCAGAGAGCTATTCACGATAGTGAAATAGCGAAATTTGATATTGAAAAATTTAATGGGAGAAATTTCTCATTGTGGAAATTGAAGATGAAGGCCATCTTGAGAAAAGACGGTTGTCTAGCAACTATCATTGAAAGGCCGGTAGATTTCACAGACGATAACAAATGGATCGAAAAGGACGGGAATGTTATGGCAAACTTTCATCTAGCATTAGCAGATGAAGTATTGTCAAGCATCGAGGAGGAGAAGACAACTAAGGAGATATGTGATCATCTCACCAAATTATACGAGGCAACATCGTTGCACAATAAAATTTTTCTTAAGAGGAAATTGTACACTCTCCGTATGCCAGAATCTACTTCAGTAACAGAGCACTTAAATACGCTGAACACTTTATTTTCTCAGCTTACATCCTTAAGCTGTAAAATAGTAGAACAAGAACGTGCTAAACTTCTACTTCAAAGTCTACCGGATTTGTATGATCAACTCATCATCAACTTGACAAACAGTAATGTCACCAGTCTAGTCTTCGATGACATTGCAGCTGCTGTTCTACAAGAAGAAAATCGGTGCAAGAACAAAGAAGACAGACAAGTAAATCTGTAACAAGCAGAAGCGTTGACAACGATGAGAGGGAGATCAACAGAACGTGGCCAAAGTAGTAGTCAGTCACAAACATGGTAGATCGAAGTCAAGAAGCAAGAAGAATTTAAAGTGCTACAACTGTGGAAAGAAGGGTCACTTAAAGAAGGATTGTTGGAGTCTAAATAAAAACTCCAATCCACAAGGCAATATCGCAAACACTTCAGACGATGGAGATGCTTTATGCTGTGAAGCGTCAACCACCGTGGAAGGAAGAAAACGATTTGCAGATATATGGCTCATTGATTCGGGAGCAACATATCACATGACCTCAAGAAGAGAATGGTTCCATCATTATGAACATGTCTCAGGAGGATCTGTGTATAGTTGTAATGATCATGCCTTAGAGATCGTTGGCGTGGGAACCATCAAATTGAAGATGTATGACAGAACAATTAAAGTTGTTCGAGATGTGCGGCACGTGAAAGGCCTGAAGAAAAATTTATTATCCTACGGATTGTTGGATAATAATGCAAGTAAGATTGAAACACGAAAAGGAATCATGAAGGTGTTCCGTGGAGCGCTTGTGGTGTTGAAAGGCGAAAAGATAGCAGCAAACTTGTACATGCTGAATGAAGAAACTTTGCTAGAAGCAGAACTGTTGCCTCATGTAGTTCAGATTCTGCAATGTTATGGCATCAGAAACTTGGACACATGTCAGAACAAGGAATGAAAGTCCTTGTAGAGCAAAAGCTACTTCCATGCTTAACAAATATATCACTTCATTTGTGTGAGCATTGCATAACAAGTAAACAACACCAGTTAAAATTCAAACACA